TTTTTTTGCCCTACAAAAGCACGGGAGCACGTGCTCACGTGCTCGTGAGGACGTGAGCGCGTGAGCTCACGAGCAGGAGCACGTGCACCCGACGGCGGACGGACATACGGACATGGCTAGCCCACTGATCTCTATTTTAGTAGGATGGATCGCGGATCGGGAGCCTGTCGGTGTTGCCACCGGCAGCCATTGCTTGACACCAGGCGACACACACAAGTCTATGGGAGAAACGCACACAAGTGAGAATATTGAAGCATGTACGCAGTGCTCGAGGCGAGTATTTTATGGTGCGCTGTGTTCCTTATGTTGGGTGTTTGGAGATCGAATTGGTATTTGTCAAAAGTTCGGTCGCCGAATAAAAAAGTCAAACGTACCGGAGCACCTACGGCTGAGCTGGCAAGCTTGCTCTCGTAGTGAAGTAAACAAAGGAACTTGCCGTCAATAAGACCGTCCTTAGGAAAGCCCAGAAGTTGATGAATGACAAAGAAGTTCCATCTCGACAGTGACGTGCCGGGGTTGAGCGAATTCAGCGTAGCAAAGCCTTCGAGCTTGTCGCCTGCTAAACCCAACTCAACGAAACCGCCACCGACTCAGCGGTAACCTTAGGTAACTCTCGCCTCATTGAGCTGCACTACAGTGGAGTCACTCTCGACCACAAAATATTTATTTATAAGGACTGCGAGGGCTGTCAGTTTTAATGTTTGTACGCAAGCTATTTGACGGGCTTATCGAAAAGCACCCAAAGAGTTTCAGTGCTGACAACAGCTTAGAAACAGGGGAAAACGACACTTTTCCTCGTTCTTCCCACAGAGTCCCATGCATTGGCTGGTGTCAATCATTGGCCGCCGGTGGCGACCGAGGCCGCGGTCCGCGGTCCAGCCTACCACAATAGAGATCAGTGGGCTAGCCCCTAAGGAGCTTCGCCCCTAAACAGATTATAGGAAAACGCATATGCAAAACAGATAACAGACACCAAAAACCACCACCTACTCATCTATCAAGCACGACACTAACATAAGTGCTGAGTGCCCTCAAAAACCACCTTTCATATAAAGGCAAACCTCTTTTTCTGACAAAGCCACCGACGAAGCGCCGACACATAGATCCCCCAAGTGGAAATAAAAAAAAATACTTTTATAAATTCTTGTTGTTTTTGCGCTGTGTCTGGCCAGGACATAAACTTTAAGGAAATACGGAACGCACTCGCATGCACAAGTTGTACTAAAAAAATAGAGGTTTTTTTTTTCATCACAAGCATAAACTAGGAATCGCCGAACGCTCATTTTACGCCCAAAAGTAGCGCTATAGGTATCAACATGATGTCAAAGTTTCATCCCGATCCGATACCTTATTCAAAAGTAACTAATTATTTTCTGAAAATTTTAATGAAAAAATGGAGCCCATTTTTGCCCGTTTTGTATGCATGTATTGCATGTATTCAAAAACTCAATCGGTCGTCATTTTCCCATTGAAATTTTCAGAAAATCACATAGCTTTTGAATAAGGTGTCCGTTCGGGCTGACACTTTGACATCTGGTTGTGACCTCTCGGGCTACCTTGGGCGGAGAATGAGCGTTCGACGACGACTAGTTTATTTTTGCGGTAAAAAAAAAAAAAAAAAAAAAAAAAAAACGGTTAACCTTTTTATGACACATTGTACTGCAATTTGTTGCCAAATATCCCCCAACAGTGGCCCCCAGTGAACAGGAATGCTCTCTAAGTCTGTCATTGTGACACCTCCCCGACAGCCCCACTTAAAACATATTACAAGAGAAGGGGATTTCGTAAACAAATGGACGAAACACACGTCACGAACCGTTCTTAGTCCGCTGTAGGCGGATGCCTTTTTGGCGACTAGCCCCGTCACCAAACCTAGAACACAATTGGCTCAATTTTTGAGGCACCGAGAACACTACTGATATGCCGCACCTCCCTCCTACTTCCTTCAGGTTATGAGAAACCCGACATAAGCACGGAACTATGACCATGCGTTTTCTGTCAATTTTCCCTTTAGCCTTCTCCACACCTTTGGACTTCTTCAAAAGCGAACTTGCTACCTTCGTCAAAAGGCTCACCCTAAAACCCGACGTCACTAGCCTCCCTACCTGCTCATGGAAACTGTCATTCGACGTGTGGACACACAACTTCTTAAAAGCCGAAGAAAGACAGGCGAGAGCAATCCGTCCCTTCACAACTTTGGAATCCGAAGACCGTTAGTCCAGAATACGTTTCTTAGAACAGGGTCTGTAAGACCAACACATATGATTCTACACCCCGGCTGACCGTCAAGTCCAAAAATTGGAGTAGACCTTCTTTAGGTTCCTCAAACGTGAAACTGGGTGCCACAGCACACTTACTAAAAGCATCCAAGACCATATTCCGAGTGTCACTTCCATCAGCTCCTTTACAGCGGACTAAAAAGTCGTCCACGAACGGAACACTTTTTTTTTTTTACCGCAGAAGAACATATGGTATTTTTTACAGCTCTGTCTGCTCCAGCAAAGAAAATATCACTCAAGACTTGCGCCACCCATGACCCAATGCTCACGCGTTTCTTCCTAAGAAACACCTTATCGCGCCCGCCAATCATCATAGAGCTCAAATAAAACTGTAAGAGCCCAAGGAAGCCTTCCAGGGCGACACCGCTAGCGTTTCTGTACCCAAGTTAACCTTAGGTTCAATGCATGACCTCACCGAGGGTAACAGCTGGTCATGGGGCAAAGAATAAAGCAAGTCTTCATCATCCACACTAAAGGCCGACCACTTTCCTGCCTCTATATCTTTTAAAGAACTCTACTACCGCCTCAGAGTTGTGCACCTGGTAAGGGTCTCCGATAGCTAAGGGCGACAGTTGCTTCTGGAGTTAGGAAGCCATCGGACGCTGCCAAGGGGCCCCTCTCGGCAACAATGGCCCTAAATGGGCACAGGTCCTTATGCGTCTTTGCATTGAAAAATATGTCGAGATACAGGCCAACTGATTTTTTAAACCTCCCTTCCATCTGCTTCGGAGTAAGGCTATCACATAACATAATTGCCCGATCTTTTACGTTTATTTTTTTAATTATGTTAATTGGCTTTGTCTCTGATGGTAATATCCGTCATTACTGAAATTGCAACATGACCTCCCAAGAAAAGAATACAACAGTTAATTAGCAGATACAGTTAGTTGGTCAACTTCTCATAACAAGTATTCCCTCGTCTAATGTCTGTCGACAAAGATAGATACATGGTAAAGACGGCACTTGTGTGTTTCGCACTCATTTTTTGGTCTGTTTAGTTTAAAATCAAACCTGTATACGCTATTTATGTTTTATCAATGTTCTCCAGAGCATTGATCATTAGAAAAATTGAATGAACACTACATCAACACTCTTGTCTGCTGCAGTTTGCATATCAAATATGAACGGGTATAGATGTTCATACTACAAATTGTGAAGCGACTTTTTAAGAATTAATGTTCAGGCATGACTAAAGCACAATATTCATCATCCGATTAAACTTAACGATCCCATGGGGATAATCTGGCAGTACTGCACTAACCATAATATATAAACCTTAAAAAAAACTGCAAAATGTAAGCTCCTAGAGAATACGTCACTGGCAAGGTTTACAACGTAGGATTATCTTTCCAGCGAATACAAGTACTTAATATACAATAAACTGATCTGTCGAGCCCAGAGGTCAGAAACATTCGGCTTGCGGGCCGAAAGAAACACTCGGCCTGGAGCCCAGCATAACCTTTCGATAGCTGAATTATGGAAGAGGAAATCGGACTGAATTTTTTTGCTGGAAACTTGAAGTCCAGTTTGCAGACAATTGTCTGAAACTAGATTTCAGGTTGCCAGCGAGAAATCCAGTTAGATTTTCTGTTTTATAATCCAGTTAGCGAAAAGATATACTGGTTTTTATCGGTACTGATACGAATCCCGGTTAGCAAGTCTCGAACGCCAAAATGGCATGGGCCATGCTGATCTCATCTCGCCGATGCATTTTCGGTCAAAAAGTAGCTGTGATCTTTTAACGTATCTGCTTAGTTTATACTTACCTGTGGTCACTTTCCCTTTGTTTTCGCTGTATTTTTTGCTTCAAAGCTTCTTGTAATGTACAACAATTCCGCTACTAGGATGCAAGCGCGAGCTCTTCATTGAAGAATGCATCTTGGCTGCGCGAACTCTCGATCAGCAGGACATCTGTCAAAAATAAAGCTAGATGCTCGGGATCCTCGCATCGAAAAAAAATTATCAGAATAGCAAGGAATGTCAGATCTATTTCTCTTTTATTTCAGAGAAACGTTGAGCTTGGTTAATTCCTGATTGAATTGAGTAACTGGAATGACACTGTAGTTGCTCTCTTACTCTATTAAAAATACAAACAGGTTGACGGGTGGTGTCATTTTAATACATATCATCACATCAGGTCGGGGTCCAATGTAGACACATAAACAAATCAGATCTAGAAATATCACTGGAAAAACTGTGAGTTTATAAAATGCATGGAGCACGAAGTCTATTCTCTTTAAAACGTTAGACCGCCCCCCCGCCCCCCCCCCCCCCCCGGCCTCTCCCCCGCTCGACCTTACCCGTGTGGAACCCACACTCAAATGAGTTTGGTACCACTGGTATCGTGCCTCAATAAAAATTGCTTTCTTTAAAGTTGTGTTTAACTTCCTCTCTTTCTTGAGGCTTTCCTTCTGTTATCCTTCAAAATCTTTTGCCAATGTTCAGAAAAGACAATAAAAAAGAGTAATGGCCTCCCGGCAGGCGGGAAAAAATTTCCGCAGCTTGTGACGCAAATATTTTGTCAATATCTCTCATGCAGTGCGAAATTCAATTGTTGTGATTAGCTCGCTGTCACGGACTTTGAGAACAATGCGTGTGACAGGCCGTGCCTCTTTTCACGAAAAAAATATCGTTAAAAATAATGCTTTTTTTACACCGGCGAAGCACTATATAAACTCACTCCGAAATCCATGACTGCATCGTCGACATCTAACGTCTAAGATGAAGGCAACCTTTGCAGCCGTTTGCTTCCTAGCTACAGTGGTGTGCACTATTGCGGTGCTGCCTGGTAAGTCTCTTACCGAAGTTGTTGCATTTTTATGACTCTCCAGCTCTAAGATATTTTGCTTAGGCTCACAATCTGCATCACAGTTGTCGAGATCTTACATCGAGTTCTATTGCTTTGTACCGAATCAACGTAAACCAACGATAAAATTTCGTATACCTCAGCCGCCGGATTTAGTTGCTTGGTCTTTCAGCGAGAACCGGATTTTTACATGCAAAGGGGCCTGTCGGAAACAAACTAAATTTTCAAGTTTATTAGTATATAATGCATACTCAAGGATACTAAATTCCATCCGTCCTAGTAACTGCTTCGATAGTTTGAAACAGATTAAACACTGTTTATTTTATTAAGAGGAAGGGGGGAAACAAATGGGCAGAAAAAAGTTTTTATGCAGACTGACAAGAGCATTGGTACCTCTACAAGGCAAAAACTAACATGGGACCAAAAAAGAATGACAAAAAGTTGATAATTTTATTATCAACATTTTATGATTCTTTTGGGAGAAGGGGGGTTGGAGGGGGAGTAGGGGGCGTTTTATTTTTTGTTTTTTCCGATGCCACCTCATTTTCTGACTGGCGTTCTCCGTGAACGCATTTAATGAAGAGATTTTACAGAATGTAAAACTTTCAGTATTTAAAAAAAATGGTTCTATTAAAGGAAATTCAATCAGCGCTTGTGGTAACACGGTAAAACAATCGTAAATGGTATTAGAATTTACTTAAAGGCCACGATCTGAAAACAACAGAAACTGTTTGCCGGACGAAATTAGAGTGTTTTTTTCCCTATTCGAAGACAAATTCATTTCCCCGTGCCTTATAACACCAATACTATGAAATAGTTTGAATACTACATGGGTGGTGCTCGACATAACATATCAGGGGAGAGTTGATCTCAGGACGAAACCGTTTTTTGTTTGTGCGTCTTTCTTAAATTGTTATCTATAATAATTTCATTCATATTCAATATATCGCCGAATTTCTCTTCAGAGAATATCTGCAGAGCACCACATGCTGAGCCATCCTGCGCCCCTGGTGAACCGATTAAATTGATATTCTACTTTAACCACCGCACCGACCAATGCGAGAAATACACTGGATGTGGAGCGGGTCGCAATGACTTTGGGTCCAGACGTTCCTGCATGGAGGCCTGTCCTTACGGTAAGTTTTGCGCATTTTCTTTTCGTTTCTTCCATTCAACCCGGGCCAGAGTCTATGCTGTTGTTTTACTGCGGAGCTTTGCGACGTGTCACGTATTAAACAAGAACCACGTTTAAGTGGATTTTACAACTGCATTTACGCAGTCTGTTTACAGAAGCACTATTGTATCAGATAACTAAGCGCAGTCTTGAAAATTAAAATTGCTGCATTAGGTTGTGCATTTCTTGCTATATCAAGCTATAGGAAGGGTCTAATGACTAGCAACTCCTACTGGCACCTTATAAAAATAGATGGTGAGATTATTTCAGGGGTTGCACTCATCGGCAACCAAACAATTATGTTTAATTTATGTTTCTCTAGTAAAAATCAAGAAATAAAAACAAAAAGAAAAACAGACGCGGTTTGACGCTGAGTAACACTTGTATTCTCGCGCAGGTAAACACAAGCCAAACTCCCCCAAGCCCTGAAAGTCTACTCGCCAATGATTCGGTAACTCTCACCAACCAATGTCGCGAGCTAAACAAAACCATATCCGTCATACGAGCAGCTGTTATTCGTTTATTGTGCATTGCATCATGCAATCTAAAGGTCTTGTAGTGAATGTGTGCGGCTTGATTTTCACCAGCATTTGCTCTTATGTAAGAAGCCTTTTTTATCATAAAAAGTACTTGTGTGGTGAATTTCTCTACCAAATTATTTTCTTTTCAATTAAATAAATGTTCCTAGTTGTATTAAACCAATTGGCTGTAAAATATATATATATATATATATATATATAGATATAAACACATGTATACGTGTGTGTGTTTTATTGTGTTCCATACAGCTGCTAAGGCCTTAGGAGAGTTACTCTTGCACGAAGTGGAAGACTATCGGATCAGAAATATTTTTGACTCTGCGATTTGCGACTCAGTATTACACTTATTGTTTTAAACATGTAAGGTTAGTGAAAAACTCCAGGTCAGGGTTAAAACACTTTTCATACCTGGTCTACATCCCAGTCGACGGTTTAATAGATTTTACTTTTAAAGGGTAAACAGAAACCGTAGACCGATTTCGTCGCTGGGAACATGAGGTGAGATTCTACTCATTAACACGGGAGAATTATAGCAGCGTTGAGCAGTTTATATTTCAAAAATAACATGTCGCGAATTTGTCGTCTATTCGAAAGAGACAATTAATGAGTGTCTCCAATTGACGTACGTATTCATAAAAAAACTCTATGTCCAATCTTGCGATCATAGATAATTCTTACAATTCATCGCTGTGCGCACCGCAGCCTTACCACTTGACTGAGTCCGAAGGTATTCCACACAGTACAGGAGAACTGCAACCTTGATAAAACTTACGACCAAAGTATGTGCAGTATGCAGGTAAAACTGCGGAAACTACAAGTAATGCGTGCAATTACGCCTAGAATGTGTAATGAATAATTGATAATTTTTGAAACATGGCAATTAAAAATAGGCTGTGAGTCAATCAAAACACAAAGGTCGCGTACCACAGACCATCTTCAGTATTTGAGCCTTTTTATTTTAAGGAATGAACAATCACATATTCCTTAAGGGAGAAAGATACAGCCTTAGTTTTGAAAGGGGTTTAAAAAGAGCAAGTTTGTACAACACCACAGCCGAATCGCATCGACATCGTTGTGAAACTGTTCACAGTCAGCAGTCTTGTGGATACTACGATAAAGTTTCACGTCATCAGCGAACTGTAGCTTTTCTGAATTACTGACACAAGCTGCAAGACTGTTTATAAAACTATTAAAAAGCAAATGTCCAAGGATCGATCCGTGTGATACTCCGGAATATATCACATAAGGATATGATTTGCATCCTAAGTTCAAAACGTCTAAACCGCAGTGCTTTTATATAAGATTTCTAAACACCCCGAACCCCTACGTTATATTTAACATGAAGCAAAATGTTCCCTAGGCGCTTCAAACTTTTATGCTCGTAAAGCTTGTATATTTAATTCTTCACCCGTGAAGCACGACGAAATTTGGCTGCAGAAACCACTTTTGTTGGTTGTCCATGAACTGCGATAGCTGTCGTCATGAGACTCGAGACGCAGCTCGCTGTGAATACGACGGCGCGAATATTGAGTAAACACTTTAATATATTAATGGGCCAAGGCGCAATCATTAACGTCAGTACGACTACACCGTGCCACTTTGAAATTCAGTGATTGTTTCGTATCTGTGTAATCGATTATTTTTCTGTGTCTGTGTAATCGTTTAATGTTCATGTTGTTTCCCTTCCAATATTGCAGTTTCGTGTTTTCTTCTTATACTGTTTCTGCGTAATTGTTTAAAGTTCAAGCTGCTCGACCATTATCATTGTTCATATACCAACTAGATCAACTGAAACCGATAATTACTTCGTTGCTTGGGCATTGAAGTCCACGGGCTTATGTTATACGAATTTAAATAACGCTAATTGCTTCAGCAAAGTAATTTTACCAAAATATGTTATACTTTGTATTAGTGCACCTTATACTTTTATACTTGTCACTGCAAAACCGGACGCCTGCATTATTTCTCGTTTGAAGGTGTAATGTATTGTATCTAAAAAACATGCCCTATAACAAGCACGTTCGTTATAGCTGCACCTCTAGAATAGGTGTACTCTCTGATTGCTCACGTTGTGCGCAGTCTGTTTTGGCAAATATTGCAACATAATTAATGTTAAAGTCGGCGCTCTTATACATTGCACATGCACTCAAGTGAAACCAACGGGCTTAAACCCCTTTCTAATTTCAGGGAATCCGAAACTGCGCCATCGCTGACTCAGGAGAACATCTTTGATATAGCGGCTGGAACACCCGACAAGGCGTTAAAACCTAATAAAATAGAGCATTAAACAAACACCGTTTTAGTCTCTGTTCTTCGCTTTCAGTTTTTATTGAAGGGAGTCTCGTGATTAGGGTCATTGAATCTATACCTAGGTCTTTCTGTTGTGTTTTCGAAGCGCTCAATAAAATTTGTTGATTTATCCCAAAATATTAGCGCCTGTCAGATTCAAAATTCTTTTCTTTGAAAAAAAAAAAAGCTTCGAGCAAGATAGATCAAATATATTTCTCCTGGAAACGTTGTGAGATGTTGGGGACATTTTCGAAACATCGCTTTAATTCTCGCGAGGGATGCCTTTTTTGAAGAGGTGATACACTGGCTATGTCATTCTGAAAGAATGTGAGGATATACACGGCACCGAGCACATTTTTATTCCTCGCTTTACTGATATGTGCAGGGTCGAACCGGAAGCAAATCGAAAACCGGAACCGAACCGTTATTTTTATATAACCGGAATCGCGAAACGAAATCGTCGCCACATTCTTGGAACAGAACCAGAACTCAACCGGAAAAAAAAAAAAATGATATCGGAAATCGGTTCAAAGCGGTTCCCGGTAATTTTTTTTTTATTACAGTTTGAGAGTTTTAGAAATATAAATTGGCAGCTAAAATTCTGTGTCATATATTTATCTACCGAATAGATCGTTTTAAGCGTTCGGCGCATGCGTGACGCCGTCATAACTTTAGTTCACGAGAGGCAACGGCCCCGCATGCCAGGGCTCGTGCCGTCTCGTGATCCACAAGCCCAGAGCTCCTGAAAGGTTATATTTGCACGTGCGTTTGTTCTGCCAGTCTTTCGTTGTGCCTCTGTAAAAGACCCACAAAAGGAAGACAATCAACGCCTACCCCCCCCCCCCCCCCCGCCCCCCCTCTTTCCCCTTACCCCCTAAAAAAATAAACACAAGAAGAAAGACAGATTTTTGGACGCCCGCGCTCCTCAAGCCTTGACCTTGGAGGAGTATGCGGTTGTAGAACGTTTGTCCCGCGACAGGCCCCCTGTCTCAAACGCCACGGTCCGTTTCCCCCAAGTACCAAATTCCACGCCTTATCTTCCCCGAGTATGAACTCCGCAGTGATTCTGAGTCATTCCGATACTTTTCAACATTGCAATACTGCTAGACGAATATTTGCACAGAAATATACACTGTTCGAGGAAATTTCTACAGTGCTAAAATTCCAAAGCAGTGCTTTTTAATTCGGGAACTCAAGTAGGTTCAGCTCATCGTTCAAACATTTTTATTCGCTTGATGAGGTCCACAAAATGTATAAATATTAGAATGGACTTCTCAGAAAACGATATAAGTCGTCGGGGTATCAAGCGACCGAACAGGTCGCAAATAATGGTTGATTAAACATTTTATTTTATAACCACAACCGTATCATCAACGGCAAGCCATTTTCTCAACACTTCTTCTAGGGACAGTGCTGCTGTAGTCGTAGCACGAGTAGACGAAAACGGTTGAGGCTTTGCTCAAATAATATCTTCTTTTGTAAGGTACTGCACAACAATTACACACAATGTTTCTATCATAGACATGCTGCTCGACATGTGTATTTACATGACGCAATACATTGTTCTCCCAACTTCGTCAAAATGGGCATGAAAGATCACAACCATCACTTGGTTGAACTTCTACATACAGATGAACAGCTTAGCGTAAAATATCGCCATTTTTTTTTCTTTCCACAACAAGACTCGGTTTACTTCAAAATTATTTTTCTCGTGTCGCCTCCACAGCGCTTCTACTTCCGTACTTTCGTGTTAGAGGACATCACATATTGTGCGAAAGGAAACGGTACGATCAATGCTGCATAGCCTATGTTTTGGGAACATTAAATAAGAAGTATTTGTCTTCACCTTGCACAGCACGTTTCAGCACGGAAGCTCCTGTTTGGTTATGATGTCTTTACTTTCTTAAAAAAAATAAAAATATATAGTTATTTGTTTTACCGAATCACAAAAACGTCGAATTTGCAAAAATTCTTTCAGTACTAACATCGATATTTGCTCGCACTGTAAGATTACTTAAAAACATACCCAAAACAAAACGCTGGTATGTGTATTCTCTGAAGTTCCTAGCGGTCTAACTCTTAGGAGGTGCTATTTTCATGCTTTGTGTACTCCTTGTTTTGAGGTTCTGAGCATTTTCAAGTGGAAATCAAGAAGAAAATTAAACAGCATGATTCCCTTTGCTTTGCTAAACGAGATTAGCCGGACCTTCTGGCAACAATATGCCTCTGGCGGTTTCATCTACTGCCGGCCGTGAGAGGTTGAGCTTGCGTACTCTCTCCAAAGCTGAAACAAGCACGGCGTCAACCAAAAATAGGAACAAATTTAAGTAAGCAAACAAAATACCTCCGCCATAAACGACTAATAGCCATACAAATCGGAGAGCATAGGTTAAATTGAAGTGTTTTCATGCACACGTGCGTTTGTAGAGTTATGACATCTCCGCAATTTTAGCGCCCAACATTTTTTTAGTTCTTTTTAAACGCGCTCACTTTGCCTTTTCGAAAACCAGCAGCTTATTTATGTATGTTCTTTCACTAGGTGATAACAAGTGTTCCAGCACTCGCTGGCTTCACCATGAGAGAAACACATACCAAGGCACTCTAAACTGAATAAACAAACCTTGTATTTCGTTCACAACCTTAGGCCACCAAAGATGTTTCAAGTAAAACAGTTGCCATTGTACCGAGTACAGCCTACCCCGATTTTCTCCTGATATATATACGGTTTTTATTTAGTAAATACTGCTGTAGCACGTGATTGACAGCAAAATAATAAAACTGCAGCGATAAAGAACTGCAGCCCCGCCGATCTCTTTGCGCTTTTTCACGATTCGTTGTACTCGCCTTTGCAAGGATCAACAGTTTACCAACATAACCAGAAAACGAAAGCTGTAAGTTGAAATAGCAGTCAGTATCCTGCATTGGCGATACTGGCCAGCTATGTATTGTATTTATACCTACTTCGTTTCATCTTGTGTTGAATCGCTGTGAAAGATTAGGAACCCCTCCATCCAGTCAACCGCAAGTCAAAGTGTCATCACCAGGCACTTTGGGCGTGTATCAGTACGTATTGTCACCTCTGAACTGGCACTTGATTGGCTATGGGGGTCCCCAGCCTTCCGATGCGACAGGCCAAACGTCATACCCCTCCCCCCCCCCCCCCCCCCCCTCCAGGTGACGTGATCTGCGTCGCGGTTGCCTGTTCTCCGCTCGTGTTTAAAATTATATTTAAAAATATATATCCCATTTTTCGCGAAGCAAACGACGTAGTGCGTTTTACTAGGGCTTTTTAATTCGAAGTCAATCATTATCCCGAAATCTTCGGAATTGAGCGGAGTTGCCCTTTAAAGTCACACAGGAGAAAATCCCGGGAGACAATCTCCGGTTTGTACAAAGCGGACATCGAAAACTCCGGTTAAAGAGCGAACCGGAGAAATTCCAGTCAGACAATGTCCTATTTGCACATGCAGTGGTGTTGTACAGGCCGATGTTTCCAGATTATACTACATGCCAACTGCAACAACTGTTTGTTATTCATTCCCGCCATTTTGGAAATTCCCACCCGGGGTTGTTTACCTCCAAATGCTCGGACCACTACATTTATCCTCCTTGAATATTTTTATATACATATATATATATATATATATATATCATCCCCTCGAAGAAGAAGAAGAAAAAAAGAAAACGAATTAAGGTAAAGTTCACACGAAGTTCATCTTTCAACCACAAACGAAGTCCTTAAGTTGCCCAGGTGGCTTTCTGGTTTTGGGGGGTACTGCTGTGAGGTGGCGGTCTTGGGGATGCTCAGTACAGCTTGGCTTGGCACTGCCTGTCTTGGCATTGCTTGGCTCGGCACAGCTTCATGATCAAGGTCTAGCATGGAGGTTTGGTCCTGGTAGCCCTACTGGAAAAAATATCAGGTTTACGAAAAATTCATGCGTTTAATGGACACGAGAAAGATGCGAGGTTCTCATTTATACGAGTACTTATACGACTTGACATTTTATACAAGAAGTGATATGACATTCTCGTTTCATATGATTTCTCATTTCGTATGAGATTCTTATTTGACACACTGACTCATATGATTTCTTGTTCCATGAGATTTTCATTTGATCCATGGAGTCTCCGTTATATAGTTATTGAACTGTTGTGTTCGTGTTCTGAAATTCATGTTAGAAAATCATGTTTCGCATAAGGAATGAAGTTTCTAATTATTGCGAGCACATTTAAGACGTCGGTCCAGACGTGTACATGGATATGCTGGGCAGAAAAATTACTCCCTCAGAAAGTCAAACTACCTTTATTCTGCAGTGCCAGAAGGGGAGAGAGGGCGCCGTAAGGGACACAGTGCCTACAAAAGTGCCGTCTCCTCTGCCTCTGCTGCTGCCTCTTGGCCCTTGTTCCGTTGGGCATTTTTCCACCTAGTGAAGGTGTCTTGTACCTAGGTAGCCAACTGTGTATTTGTCTTGGCCAGCCTAGCGTCGACTTCTTCCTTGGGCATGTTCCCAGTGTAGGCATGTAGCGCAGGTGAAGAACGGAAACAAAAAAGGACACACAATAATCAACATTCGACTTTAAAAGACTCCACATGAACATATTTGCAGAGCCAATTAAAGGGGCAGTACAACGATTTCCGGACTTTGGTAAGATATTTGTGGAAGTTGCCCGTATTTGGCACTCGCAAAGTAAAGAACAAAGAACCGATATCGCCTGCGTGTCCTAGCTGTGTAGAAAGAGAAATATTGGCATTTCTGGGACACCTCAACTAACTCGCAGTCTTCAGGGTCACCAACTCAATGACGTAATTGTGTTTACGCGTATGTTCGTGTGTGATGATCTCTTGGAGGACTTTTACTCTCCCTCTCTCTGCTGACATTAGCGGGAGTTAAGCTGCAGCTTCGGCCCAGGCGACGTCATGGGATCTTTTTGCCGTAGTTCCTTCAGCTGCCAATGGCGAC